GATGATGATAAGTGGCGGGGCGCCATTGGTGCAATTGGTGCAAGTGCTCCACCTAACCCTGCCCCCCCACCTTTCTAATTGTTCTAAACCTGTCAGTGCTCTAGATCTACATTACCACATCCTTGCGATCCGTCACCCGCTGGCTGGACCAGTGAAGAGACAGACGGCGATGATGGTTTATGCTCGTCGCACCGTTTGCGGTAATGTCTGTTGGGAGCAAGCAAACTCTTTGCACCAAAGTTGTTTTTTGTCACTGTCATTCATTCATTGTTTCAGGAAGCAACATCCCTGCACTCCGGACATGTCCGTTGATGCTCCGTTGCTCTCTCCAAAATGCTGCCGAGGGTCCACTGGTTGTACCAGTGCACATCTGGTTGAACGTTCTTCTGTTCTTTCCTGCAAGGATGCCAGATTTTCCACTTCTTTTTTGTATTCCCAAAAGCACCATCCTCTCCACGGCTGTACTGGCCTCTGCCTCCCTATCTTCCTCCTCAATCAGCTGGCGGGAGAGACATTTCAGGATCTCGACCCTATCTGGTTGAACCGTATTGTCAACTGAGGTGGCCTCACCAGCCAGTCTGTCGCTTTTTCATTTCCCCTAACACCTGCATGGCCAGGGCAGAAAATCCATGTGAGCGATCGTATAGGCGTTGCTTCGATAGCTTGAATCCATTCTGTTCTCAGGAAACCTTTTTCGATCCTTCTGAGGGTACTCATGGAATCAGTGATAAGAACAGCATGGGTTGTGTGGGGGCGATCTTGAGTCATCCAATCAAGTGCTTTCGTGATGGCTTCAATTTCCATTCGCATACTTGATGTAGCCCTGCTGCGGGCTCCAGATGCACTGTGTATAATTTTATTGTTGGCGAATGCAACAAATCCCCATCCACTTCGCTGGCTATCTCTTTTAACTGAACCATCTGTATAAATTACAGGATCCCTGCTTTTGAGTTCGTGTCAACACAGTCACTGTAGAGAAATTTACGCATCGTTCTTCCCGTACAATAAGAAAGGTGCATGAAACTGCTCTTCGCAGCACCAATTTGGTGTGAGCTAAAAATGTGATCCAAGTTTCCTCAAGCCTATCTACTAACACTAGTAGAGTCTACGGTAACTCAGTGAAGAATGGGTATCGAAACTGTTGTCTCCCTCTATTGTATAGCAAGTCCTGATGCTGCACGAAGTAGTTAGAAATCTTTAAATCATCTCAGATTGTGAGCATAGTGAGTTGTTAGTTTTGTTTCACTTTATTGCAGCTTTTATGCGGTTTCATCTAGAAACAGTTGTAAATATCGATAGAT